TATGACTATCGGTAGACTCAATTAGAATTTCTATGCTTAACGAAAATTATTAGAAATTCATATTGTGTCTGCGTCAATGTTCCACATAATCTCATTATGCGAAATACACTCATTCAATATCTCACCATATTAACAGTGCGGATAACACCGTTCCATTCTAAATGGGAATGACATGTATTAATAATGTTTTAATTAAAGATTCTGAACTTTAATTAAATTCATTATGAACAATTACTTTTGATTATTATCCGTAAACATTATCCTCTCGTATACAACACTTATATACCATGTTTAAGGTTACATGAATAATCAAGGAATTTTATTTGATATTAATAAAATATTCATAAATATATGCACATAAAATGATGAATAAACTCTTTTATTAAATAAATAATAAATATCCTTTTACATCTCATGCTTCTAGGACACTATTCCCAACAGTATTTATGTATTTAACATGTGCATTCATGCATCATATTTATATGCCTTAAATTTAGTAGTGATATTTATGCAAAATGTTGATTGAGTTAAATTCCTTATTTTCAGCAAAAATGTCAAACCCTATTTTCGTACTTCTCGCTTCCCAAATTTTGAATGGTGAAAACTTTGTCAAATGGAAAAGCAACATGAATATCCTCTTGATTTGTAAAAACTACCATTTTGTCCTTAAGGAGGATTGTCCTCCAGTGCCGCCGGCCAATGCCGCCAGGGCTGTGACCGAGCGATATAATTGCTGGGTCAACGCCAACAACAAGGTCTGCTGCTACCTGTTAGCAGCCATGAATGAAGTGCTGATAACTTAGCACAAAGGCTTTGCGACTACTAGAAAGATCATGGACTCTCTTCAAAAGACGTCTATCTGATTCAGCCCAGCACGCTGCAGTCAAAGCCGTTATGAACGGCCGTATGAAGAATGGTTCTTCTGTGCGTGATCATGTGCTTAAGATGATTAATCATCTTAAGAAGGCTAAAATTAATGGGTCTCAGATTAATGAGAAGACCCAGGTTGGCATAATATTGGACACACTCTTGCTTGTTTTTCTTCCATTCGGGATAAGTTATCTAATGACCCAAAAGAATGATAACTTGATTGAGCTCCTAAATGAGCTGCAGCAATTTGAGTCCCTTATATGTGATAAGGGAGGCAAGGCAAATGTTGCTGAAGCCAACACAGCTGAGGGAAGGCCTTCTTCATCAAAGAACAAGAAGAAGAAGAATCAGGGGAACAGTAAGGGCAAGGGGAAGAAGAAGATCTAGAAGAACAAGCATAATAAGGCTGCTCCAAAGCCTACGGGAAAGTGTTTCCACTGCAACCAGGATGGCCACTATATGAGGAACTGCAAAGAGTTCCTCGATGAGCTGAAAAAGAAGAAACAAGGTAAATCAGATTTACTGGTCATGAAAACATGTTTAGTTGAGAATGATTTCTCTACCTCGATAATTGATTCATGGGCATCTAACCAAGTTTGTACTTCTTTGCAGTTGCTGGAAACGTCCAGGGATCTTAAAGATGAATCTTTCCAAATGAGAATGGACATTAGGGCAAGGATCTTAGCGATGACAATAGGGACAATGCGACTGTCTTTTACAAATAATAAATATTTATTATTAGACAATGTTTATTTTATTCCGAGTTTCAAATGGAATTTGCTTTCGGTTTCTAGATTGCATGAACAATTTATTTCAATTTCTTTTGATATTGACTATGTTTCTTTATTTAAGAATGGAATTCATATTTGTTCTGGCTTAGTTGATGATGGTCTTTACTTTGTTAAACCCATATTCAAGAAAGGTTTCTAACGAAAATAAAACATACTTGTGGCATTTGAAACTAGGTCAGATATGATTGAAAGACTAGCAAATGATGGTCCTTTAAGAGAGCTAAAGGTTGTCACTCTACTGGTTTGTGAATCCTGTCTAGAAGGAAAAATGACCAAGAGGCCATTTTCAGCAAAGGGTGAAAGAGCAAAGAAGCCCCTTGAAATCTTACATGCCGATATATATGGTCGTTTGAATGTCAAAGTGAGGAGAGGCTATGAATACTTCATCACATTTATTGATGATTATTCGAGATTCGAATATGCATACCTGATGCAAAAGAAATCTGAAACCTTTGAAAAGTTTAAAGAATTCTGTGCCAAAGCTGAAAAGCAACTCCACAAATCAATCAAAACTCTTCGATCGGATCGAGGAGGAGAGTACTTGGATTATGAATTCAAAGACTAATTGATTGAAAATGGAATAATATCTCAACTCACTGCACTTGGCATGCCACAATAAAATGGTGTAGCTGAAAGAAGAAACCATACCTTACTTGACATGAAGAGATCAATATTAAGTTATTCTTCTTTACCCACTTCATTATGGGGATATGCATTGCAAACAACAGTATACATTCTGAACTTAGTTCCATCTAAGTCAATCCCCAAAACACCCCTAGAGTTGTGGAATGGTCGCAAACCTAGTTTGAGACACATTTGCATATGGGGGTACCCAACACATGTGTTGAAGGGAAAGACTGGGAAGTTGGAACCTCACTCGAAAGTCTGCATATTTGTGGGCTATCCAAAAGGAACAAGAAGAGGTATGTTTTATAGTACTCAGGATAACAAAGTGTTTGTATCGATAAACACTACATTTCTTGAGCATAACTATATGGCATATTTCAAGCCCATAAGCAAGATAGTTCTAGAAGAGTTGCTGGCTCATCAGATTAGCTCCATACCAACAATAGTTGTTAGACGACAAAGAAGGGAGACCACTAACTGTGATCAAACACCACCACCACCACCACGCAGTAGGAGGGAAATACGATTACCCATCTGCTATCGTGAAAATGGAGAAGTAAATATTGTAGTCACCAATGGCAGTGAAGAGAATCCATAGTCATATAAGATGGCAATGGATGATATTAATCGAGAAAACTGGCAAGAAGTCATGAAACTTGAAATGTAGTTTATGTACTCTAATTCTGTATGGGAGCTTGTAGACCTACCAGAAAGCATTAAACCTATTGGTTGCAAATGGATCTATAAGAGAAAGAGAATAGCTGATGGAAAAGTTGAAACATTCAAAGCAAGATTAGTTGCAAAGGGTTTTACCCAAAAGGAAGGAGTAGACTATGAGGATACTTTTTCCCTGTAGCCATGCTAAAGTCCATCCGCATTCTCTTATCCATTGCCACTCATTATGATTATGAGATATGGCAAATGGATGTCAAGACGGTATTTCTGAATGGCCATCTTGAAGAGACCATTCATATGGTCCAACCAGCTGGTTTCGTGGTAGAAGGCCAAGAGCAGAAGGTTTGCAAATTGCAGAAGTCTATTTATGGACTAAAGCAAGCTTTTAGATCTTGGAACATAAGATTTAACGAAGCCATAAAATCTTATGGCTTTGAACAAAATCTTAGTGAACGTTGTGTCTACAAGTAAATTCAGGGAGATAAAGTGGTCTTCTTGGTTCTTTACGTAGATGATATTCTGCTCATTGAGAATGATATAGAATCGTTATCCAAAGTAAAGAATTGGCTAGCCAACCAAATCTAAAGAAAGGATTTGAGGGAAGCTAACTACATTCTTGGGATCCAAATTATCCGGGATCGCAAGAATAGACTTTTGGCATTGTCTCAAGCATCGTATAATGACAAGGTGCTTGTTAGGTTTTCAATGCAAAACTCCAAGAAAGGAAATTTACCTTCTCGACACGGAGTTTATCTCTACAAGGAGCAGTGTCCAAAGACACCTCAAAAGGAATAGGATATGAGACGAGTTTCCTATGCATCGGCGGTTGGTAGCCTGATGTATGCAATGCTATGTGCTAGACCTGACAAATGCTTTGCAGTATGGATGGTTAGTAGATACTAGTCAAACTCAGGATTAGATTATTAGGTTGTAGTCAAATACATACTCAAATATTTGAGGAGGAAGAGAAACCATATGCTTGTATACTCTAGTAGGGATTTAATTCCTATTGGATATACTGAATTTGATTTTGAGTTGGATAGGGACTCTCACAAGTCCACCTCGGGAGTAGTCTTCATTTTGGAAAATGGAAACATTATGTGGAGGACTATCAAGCAATCTTGTATTGCTGACTCAACCATGAAAGCTGAGTATGTAGCAGCTTGTGAAGTAACTAAGAAAGCAGTCTGGCTTCACGAATTTTTGAAGGAATTGAAAGTTGTTTCAAACATGCATGAGCCTATCATACTCTATTATGACAATAGTGTAGCAGTGGCCAATGCCAAGGAGCCCAGGAACCACCGCAAAGGAAAGCATATAAAGCAAAAATTCCACTTGGTCAGAGAGATTGTTTCTAGAGGAGATGTTTCAGTTGAAAAGATCGCATTCGTGAACAACATAGCTGATTCATTTACCAAGACATTACCAGCTGGAAGTTTTGAGAAACATCTTGAGAGTATGAGACTTAGAGACATGTCTCATGTGCTTTAGGGCAAATGGGAGATTGTTAGGGTATATGCCGATAAATGAAATAAGATATAAATACTTTGCTGATTATTAATGAAATGAGGAACCTTTTTCAATATTATTTTGTATACAAGTGATGTTTTATAAATATAAAAAATCACCTATATTATTTTAGATATAACTTTGACCATTGTACATAAGTGTTATACGTAGAGGATAATGTTTGAAGTAAAATAATCTAAACTTGTCTGTAATTATAAATTAAAGTTGGAATATTTAATTTAAAATTACTAATGCGGTTCATAACATTCTGAATGAAACAATCTTATCCTAGATTGTTAATAAAGAGATTATTGGAATGAAAGCATTTTATGTAATATGAATACATAGGACCAGAACTAGATTAATTACGAATCTCTAATAAATTCTGTTATTAAATAGAGTATTCAATATTAATCAATGATGGTCATATATGAATTAATCTTAATTCTGAGTAATTAATAAAGTCTTATTTATGATATTATGTTCTTTGACATATTGAGTAATGACACATATGAATAGTGTCAAAGTCTTGGTATATTGGGAGCATAGTAAAATAAATAGCCGGCAATATTAATTTACAAGATGAAATCCATTCCTTCATAATGAAGTAGACGGACGGTTTCCATAAGTGTTGATTCTAGACTTGAATAATAAGAGTGCTCAATTTTATGATTGGATCATAAAATATATTATTCATTAGATGATCAATGGTACTTATGGAGAAAGATATAATTAAAGAGGTCAACAGAAAATTCATAGCTTTAATTATGAACCATTTATGGAGGATTAATTCGTATGTAGTGACTATATCAATGGACAACACAAATTCTGTGAGCATAATTATTTTATAAGTTTAAGAGAGCAATTCTAAATTTATAGTGGAGTAATTTGAAATTAATAATTTTGATATATTAATTAAGGTGTTAATTAATTGTCAAAATTATTGGAGTTTAAAATTATAATGTCCATAGTTTCTCTCAACAGCTCCATAAGATTAATGCGAACTATACATATCATAATGGGTTATGATTATTAATTTAGAATTGAGAATTCTAAATGCAGATATATTTATTAATTCGATTAATTAATATGAAAATTAATTTAAAATTGTTTTAAATTAATATGGATGAATCTAATCACTTTTACGAAAAGAAGGAAATTTTTCTCAGCCCTATATCTCTCCACGTTTCTCATCTAGATAAATTTATTTTATTTTACTTTGGCCATAATACAAATAAAAAAAAAGAAGAAGAAGGCTGCAGGAGAAAGGGGAGGAAACGTGCTATTGCACGTTTCCTCAAAATAAAAAAAAGGGAGTGGGAGGAAACGTGCTCAACATGAGGAAAAGAAGAGTAAATGTGTTGCTGCACATTTACTCGTAGATGAATCAGTTTTGTTTGGTTTTTTCCTAAAAAAAAAAACAATAATAATAAAGAGATTTCCAGAGAAAAGGAAAATAGAGATACGAAAAAACAAAAAGAAAAACCAAAGAAATTTTTTTGAGTACTATCACATACTTTTGAGAAAAGTGAGTGATAACTATAGGCGGTCTTCCTATTCATCTATCTCATGTGTTGAGAAACCCATTAGAACGCCTGCTCGGTCGAGTTGATACGTTGAGAAAGAACTGTAGTGTTCTTGGAATTTAACAGCTCAAGACGGTGTTGGAGGAGTTTAAGGCCCTGTTCACTTCGCTGATTCGAGTTTAGAATTCAAGTTTTTCTACAGTAAAAAGCTCTCACAAACAATCACATCTAACTTTTTTGCTACAGTAAAAAGCTCTCACATAAAATCACATCTCAACTCGAATTCTAAACTCGAATCAGCGAAGTGAACGAGACCTAAGATTTACGTCCTAATCAAACGATGGTAAAATTCTTCTTCTTCGCTTTAATTTCTTTGTAGTTAAATTAACATGAAATAATGATCGCATTAAATTTTGATTTATGTAATTCGATCGATACCATGCTTCCGCACAATTATTTTGAAAATCTGATTCGAGAAACCAACATACACGACTCAAAACCCACACGAAGTTAGCAGGTTTGGGTTTATCATAAATAGGTTTGGGTTAAAATCAGGTTGAACCCATGAAACACGATTAAATAGCGTGTCGTTTTCAAGTTGATATGCCAACTCGCAATTGACCAGTCATAACCCGTTTATTAAACGTGTCATATTTGGGTAACACGAATATACAACACGATTACAACCCGTTTGTTACCTATGTTTACAAATTAAAATTATATATTTATATGTATGGTAGATTTAGACTTTAAGTTTAACAGGTGAAAAATAAATAAATAAAAACTAAATATAATAGGACCAAGAGTAGGGTTTCATTCTTTTCTCATCAACACAAACCACACAGCCGCCTTTGCCTCATTCTCTCTGTCTCTCTCACTCACTCGACTCAACCTAAGGTTAACCTCCTCTTCAATTGCTTCGCCATTGAGTAGGGTTTTGTAGTTTTTTTTTTTTTAAAGGACCCAGAGTCTTGGTCCTTATATATGTAGTTTATTTTTTCACCAGATATTAAACTTAAAGTCTAAATATATCATACAAATATAAATATATATTTTTAATTTGTAAGCATAGGTAACAAACGGGTTGTAATCGTGTTATCCAAATATGTCACGTTTAATAAATGAGTTACCGCGGGTCAATTATGGGTTGGTGGGTCAACCTGAAAACGACATGCTATTTAATCGTGTTTTACGAGTTCGACCTGATTTTAACCCAACCCTATTTATGATAAATCAAAACTCACTAATTTTATGTGAGTTTTAAATCGTATAGTGTGTTGCTATCTAAATTGTCAGTCCTACTGTATACTGGACCTTTTAGAAGCCCAACTAGTTAGTATGGGTAGAAAATTGAGTTAGGCATATTTCAACGTATGCAATCTAACCTGGCCCCCACCATATATATAAGTATGTATGTATGTATATGTATAATAAATTGAATAACGTGTATATACTAAAATGTACATTTTGTCAGCCAAGTTCTTTAACAACTTTCAAAATGATTGAATCAAGAAAAATAACATATTAACTGGATAGCAATTGATTTATCCAACTATTTATTATTATTTATTTATCATTTTCTGCTCAGTATTTTTTAATCAATTACTTAAATTAGGGACTTTCTTTTAGAGCAAACCAATCAAAGACATCATATTAATCACAATTATACGATTAAAATTAGATGGAACATCTAGAACTAAGGTGGAATATTGTGGGAGGGTTCTTTCAATAACACCATTACACCTCGTTAATAAAGTACGGAACAATTTAAATCGTACGGCTGCAATGATTGCCCCAAAAATGGAGTGCCCCTAATTATAAATTCCCCCGAAAATAAGTTAAAACCATCCATTTATTGATTAGGCAACCAAATTTGTAGAGGAAAAAAAATGTTGTTTCTTCTCTTTTGTGTGTGAATCTCTCCCTCTCTTCCTTTGGTACTAGAAGCTGCCTCTTTCTCCTTCTCTCACATATTACACATTACAGAGATAGAATATATTAAATACTAGTGGCGAGATTGTCCTCTCTTATTGTGATAAGTACAAATAATGTGAAAAGAATGAATCTTACGCATAAAAATATAAGACTATGGCAAAGAAGAGAAACCTTCAAAGAATTGAAAGAGCCAACAAAGTCCCTACAAGTAGCAAATTGAGATTAGTTGGTTAATAATTGTTAACAAGGATATGTGAACAAGTTGTCAAAGAGACTGCCTTAAGAGTCATATGAGGTTTTCAACTAATTCAACCAAGTTATTTATTATCTAGTCCTCAAGTCGTTTTAGTAAAGCTTGAATTTTCACTCTTCTTCGAATATCATTTTGCATAAATCTCATTCTTCTTCTTTTATTTTCTTTCATTAATATTTTTTTTAGTTTCAATATTTGACTGACCAATCTATCCGAGCTTTTGTCCAAGATGTTGATACCATAGCCAGCTTGAAAGGTTATCTTCTCAGAAATATTAAAGAAAGAAAGTGATACAACGTAACGTTAGCAATGGGCCATTAATACCGTAAAATACAAAAGAAAGAAACATTTAACAATTGATTAATACTCATACAAATGCACAAAGAATGACAAATATATACCCAAATTACACAATCACAACTAACCAGTACACTTGCCAAGTTCGTTGTCCTGTTGTCCTCTTTTCACACCTATTTTCATTCTAAGAATTATTTTATTCTAGATTCACTTTACTATTATTTTCTTTTAAAAAAAAAAAAAAAAAAACCCTCCAAACCTAAGACACAAATCCATTTTCAACTTTTAGCAACACAAATGAAAATCTAATGACAAATTAATAGACAAATTGCACTAAAGGCCGGAGGTGTAAGGCACATTAGTAGCAGGTAACCAAGAACCACCTGCAATGAAGTTGCCCACAGTGAATTTTGAAGCCTCAGATGCCCCAATCACATGGTAACCTGTCCACTTAACCCGGTTCGAAGTAGATGAACCGGGTCCGGTGTTTGCATACTCGGCGTAGTACAGAGTCTTAAGGGCAAAATTACCGCTCCACTCCAGCCAGCCCGCCGGATTAATTAAGCTACCAAGGTTAGTTTTCATGACAACCGTCCTTGAATACTCTTTCCACGGTCTCCCTAAATATGTTTTAACCGACGACGACAAACTCGAAGCGGCGGTAACCCTACAATTGTGAATTGAGATCCCAGTATTTTGATTCGAGTCGGTTCGGCCTTGTGCCGTGATGGTGTTGGTTTTGTTAGGAGGATCACGTGCGTAGATGTTACAATTTTGAAGGACTACTGCGGCATTACCAAATATAAAGTCCACCGTGCCATAGATGTCACATTCCCTATAGAATTGTCTTTCAGAGTGGACGTAGAGGGTGTCTTGGTACCCTTCAAAGCTGCATTTGTAGAATACGGATTGATCCGAACCCGACCGCAACGCCACGGCTTGGTGGTTGGATGCTCCGGCCGTGTTTCGGAATGTGATGTCTTGAGCAATAAATCCATCTCCAACGACAGCTGCATCAAATCAAGATTTTAAAAACATTAAAAATTGTATGTGTTTCTTTATATATATATATATATATATATATAGTTAATTAATTAATTGAAACTGTGCCTCCTTTACACCTAAACTACACCCCAACTCATGCCATTTGACTTAATGGGTAATTGATAAAAATTGTTATAATTATTACTAATGACAAACAAGTTGACAAATATATATATATATATATATATATGGTTTCATTAATAATTACTATAATATTTATCTATTAGTGGATATTATTGTTTTAACAGTGTGAAATTGACTGGATAATTGTAATAAATTGGATATTTAATAAAAAAATGTATTATAATTAATGATGTTGTAATCTTATCGTGCTATATTTAATAGTAATTACTAATGAAAACGTGACTATTGAAAACTTGTCCACGTACATAAGACAAATTTTTCGACGAAACTATATATGACTATTTTTTTTTTTTTTTTAAATAACTATGAATACTTGTTAGTTATTGATTTCATTAGTTTGTTGTACTCACATTAGGTCTCAATATTAATAAAAATGCGTCTGGAATTATCACAGAAGAATATCTGTAACCGGATCACTTATATTGACTTCGGTAGGAAAACGAAGGTTGGTGACTTAAAAAAGCAATTTGGGGGATAAAACAAATTTATTTCAAATCCTCAAACCCCGAAGGTGCCTAACAAAATTAAGGACATTTAAGATTAAGACACGTGACAACTTCAGAACCACAAGAACTTATAGCTAATAGATCACTTTGTAACAATTTATTTTTTCTTTTTCAATGTACTTTATTAAGCATATACATCAAAAGAGGAGACTTTTGGTGCGTCAGACTTGAACGATTAATTAATTGATAATACAATTTGGATTAAAGAGTGATTTAGCAAACTCTATTGGCCCGATATTTGGAGACAAAGGAGTTTCCAAGTTCTGAAGCCGTAGACAATTAATTTTTGCGAAATTAATACGCATAATAGTAAACTAGTCGAATTCCTAATTGTCTTATATTCTAGATGACAGTAAAAAATCAAACTCGTCTTTTTTTTCCCCCTTTTTACTAGTAAAACTCGCAACACCTACGATATTTTCTATTGTAAACTCGGGAAAAAAAGAAAGAATTATAATATTTGCAAGGTATTATTTTTCTTGTCAAATTTTCTAGTGTGCTATTCTCTTAAAAATCACCATTCAACGCTACTTTATTGAGTATTTAATAATCATCCTTCTAAGACAACCACGAATTTACATGTCATAATTTTTTTTTATTAGAGAATTTGAACTCAATTCTAATTAGAGCAATTCGAATTACACATATACATGACTACATCACATAGTAGGACTTTTTCGAGACTACTACATATATTATAAAGTCAAATAGTTATCGATTCTTCCAAAAACTTAAACTGAGCAGACCAAAAATTAGCGGCAGAGTTGTTTAGGGTCCAAGGGCAGCTTCCCCCACTGATTTCTTGTTTTAAAATAGCAACAACAAAAAAAAAAAGAACAGCTTTAAAAAATTTGTAATCATAAGTTAATTTTGTCTTTATTGAGATTCGGTTTTTTCATATGCTTTTGCTGGACTCATCGTTAGCTATTGAAATATGTTTTAGTGATTTTTTTTTCGTAATAATACATCTATTTATTTGATACACGTTCTTCAAAAATACTGTAGTAAAATTTTTTAAATATTTTTCTTGTCATTTACTTTTTCTCAAAAAAAAAAAAGAAAAGAAAAGAAAAAAAAATAGGTGTATGCCCTTGAAGTAGAAGGTTAGTTTTGAGGATGCGAATAATAATGTTTAATTTCAGTAACCAAATCAATAACGGGACTTTTTGCTCTAGTTAATTATATTGGTGGAGAAGAATAATGTCAAATTATGTATACTTACCAACAGTTGCTGATTGGAACGTTGTAGAACCACCACCAACACTCTTGCTTCCTGTGATAATAGTCTTCCCAATCCCATCACCCAACAACATGACATTCTTTACTTTTATCTCAACATTCTCATTGTACGTCCCTGCCTTCACATATATCACAAACCTCCCGCTCCCTTTAACGGCGGTAACCGCCGCCTTCACGGTCGTGTAGTCCCCGGACCCATCCTTGGCCACCACGACATTGGCCCGAGAAGCTGGTGACGACGAAGACTGCAATAGCCTTCGGTCACCGGGCTTGACCCACGTGGGAAACCCGTTGTTATACTTGTTATCAGGCTTATATGGGGATTTGTTTATAGCCAGAGAGTTGCTAATAAGTTTGGAGACGTTATTGGACATCAAGGGCAAGAGGTAGTCCGAGACGCCCAACTCGAGCAGCCCGGCACGACACGTCTCAAGGTTGGTGAGCGCCGTGCTGAGCCACGTTTGGAGGTCGTCTTGGGTGCACTTGGAAGTGGGTTTAGAGGTCTTGTTGAGCCTAAGGACCGTGGACTCATAGAGCTCAAGGCAATCGGCCCAAGCAGCCTTCTCTTGTTGGCTCCGACACTTGGGGCCCACCGAGAAGAGGTCGTCATGGGCGTGCATGGCTCGGTCTAGGGCTAGTTTGGCTGATAGTTTGAAGAAGTCGGATTTTTGTTTGATGGGTGTACGGTCATATTCAAGATTATTGCTAAGGAAGTACTCGCATGGTTGTGGGTTGGGTGTTTGGCCACACCACGATTTCACTTCTTGGAGAGAATAGCCAAGAATGGTTGGGGAGAGATAGAGAATTAAGAAGAATATTGATAGTGTAATTATGGTGTAATTTTTAGCTCCAACGTCCACCATTTTTTTTTCTATGGTTTAATGAGAACAAAATAAGGAAAGATACAATGGGTGTTTGAGAATATTGCTAGTTAAGGATTGTTTTTGTTGGGGTTTTGTATGAGGCTTCATGGCTTGTATTTGGTTGCTTTATATAGAATGACGAAGAGGGTGTTTGCTGAACAAGGAAGGAAAAAATGGGACGCAAACATGACTTTTTAGTTATTTATTCCATTTCTTTAAATTCTTATTTTCTTATACTCTTTGCTTTATCTCTTTTGGACTATTATTATTTTTCTTTCTTGTAAGACCAATTGAGGTTTGAGTTGGATGCATTAAATTTTGTTGTTGTTGTGATATTATAATAGAAATAGGGAGGCAAATATCTTTGTTGAAATATATAAAATTAAGTAGAATGCAATCAAATTAGTGGACGAGAATTTGTTTCTAAAATTCTTTAGACTAATTCAAAATATAATAAGTTCATAAACAATAATATGTCGTAGACTTGTTCCCTACATATATGTGTTTGACGGGAGAAGATTGGAACAAAAGGAGATATGGAAAGGCAATAAACGCGCTATATATTCAAGTATCAAGTATGTGAACAAGTTGTGTATAACATCATGTATGTATATATGTGTATATATATGTATTCGCAGTCAGTTCATGATGAATAGGAACAAGAGGAAAAGGATAACTAGTCATAAACTTGGAACAAAAATATATGGTTTTGTTGAGTCTTTTATCTTGTAAAAAAGTCTGCAAGGGAATTGAGTTACTTGCATGCCTTGTAGACTTCCTTTCACGCTGCCTATGTCTGTTTGAGATGTCAACGTGATTCGCTCACAATTTATGACTGCTGAGGTCAGTGGTTCTTTTTTTTTTTTTTTTTTCATCCCGAGATAAACCGCTCTGAGGTCTATAAATATAGGCTTACATTATTATTATTATTATTATTATTATTATTATTATTATTATTATTTAATAATAATAAAAATATATAGCGTTAAACTCCATGGGTTAATTATATTCTTTTTGATGACCATTGTGGTCAGGAAGAAGGTTATAATTCAGAAAAAATTGTTGAATTTATTTTTAGAGTGTATGAATCTGAATTTTTATTCTTTATTTTTAACCAATACCCTATTGACTAATATGGTTATTTGACTAAAAAGAATATAAATCAAGAGTATGAAGTAAAATCTAGACCTATGCATTTTAAAATGTATTTGTCTCCTTTCTCCTTATATCTATTATCCTGAAATTTTTGTTTCATTTATTATTATTTCAATACTATTTTGCCATATTGTTTAAATTTAGGAATTATTATTAATTCAGAAAAATTTGCTGAACTTATCTTTAAAGTGTATGAATCTGAATTTTTATTCCTTATTCTTAACTAATACCCTCTTGACTAATATGGTTATTTGACTAAAAAGAATATAAATCAAGAGTATGAAGTAAAATCTAGACCTATGCATTTTAAAATGTATTTGTCTCCTTTCCCCTTATATCTATTATCCTGAAATTTTTGTTTCATTTATTATTATTTCAATACTATTTTGCCATATTGTTTAAATTTAGGAATTTTGCTATATAATAAATACAAAAACTCTAAACTAATTTCTTTTGCTCATCAAAAATTGAAACTCTACTTAAATAATTAAATGAGATTAGCCAAAACTAATTAAATGTGATGCGAAAATAGTACTAAAGGACAATGAATTAAACAAAAAAAATGAGATAACAGATTCGAAATTAAAAGCTTATAGCATAAGCATGCAAAATATCACACTTCTAATCTTTAGATAAGACATAACATCAACGCTAATGGCCATTCAACAAAAACGCTAAAGAGCCTCTTGTGATCTATTGAGCTAATTACAGGATGTTGAATTTTGAAATTCAATTAATTTGTGAAATAATAAGATGAGAACGATCCCCTAGTCCTTCCAAAGTTTTGCTTTACGGACAAATATATGAGACAAGTATTTGACAACAAAGTCAAAAATATTTATGGATTAATATATGTAGGTTCTTAAAATATCAGCATGTAAGTAGACGCATTTACTCATTTAAACATAGATAGATAGATGGTAATGTTGAACAGTTGTTTTTTTTTTTACCTAACTTATAACGTGCATGCACAAGAGTAAAATAAATAATCCATGTATAAACACTACAAGAATTTGAATTTTTTGTTACTAAAAATTTGGTAACCAAAAGTCCTATTTTTGGTAGCAAAATGTTTTTGTTACCAAAAAATTTTGGTAGTAAAAAAGGTAGCAAAAAGTATTAGTTACTAAAATTTTGGTAGCAAATAATTTTTTCTACTAAAAAATTTTTTGGTAACAAAATGTATTTGGTAGCAAAATGTATGATATTCGGGGACCAAAAGTTTCGGTAGCAAAAGGTTTTTAGTAGCAAAAAGTGTGAGCTTTCTACTACCAAAAGTTTGGTAGCAAAATATATTTGGTAGCAAAAAGTACGCGATTCAGTCATCAAATATTTGGTAACAAAAGGTATTTGGTAGCAAAAGCCATGAGATTTAGGGACTAAATATTTAGTATAAAAACTGAGAGATTTATATACCTGTATTTTTTGAAAAAATATATATAAATAAAATACTAAATATTAATTTAAAAATCTCTAAATATTTCAATACATATTAGAATCCAAACAAAATACTAAAATAGTCATACTTAAGCAAACTCAAACACTTAAGCAAATATTATACTAGTAAAATCTTAATATTATAAAAATTAAACGCTCTAACAAACTGAGGCCGGTGGTGGCGGTGGTGGAGGATCTTCTCTTCTTAGGACGAAAGGTGCAGGATAATCGGATGGCGGATTTATCTGTTGAAGTAACTTTTGAATAAGCTCCTGTTGTTGCTACCAAATATTAATTTAGTACTAGAAAGACATATATTAAAAATTAAAAAAAAACATTTCAATGAGAAAAATTATTTTAGAATCATTGGTCTAGTAACATTATAACAAAAAATATAATTTTGAAATTGAAATACATTATTCTATGTTAAAAAGTAATCAAATAGCAAGATTATATACTACTCTATGTGGAACATATATTAAATTAACAAGATCATATATATATATATATATATATAACATGAATATGTCTCTAGTTACACCTACACAAAACAACTAAATTATCAAATACTTGTTATAAAAAATATACTACGATGATTGCTAAACTTAATTTATGACATATTCATGGAAAACTAAAACAAAAGAAAAATAAAAGCACAAAATATAAGTTTTAAAGTTTTTATACGATTTGCTACCAAACACAACTTTTGGTAGCAAAAAACGCCTTTTCACCACCAAAATATAAATTTGGTAGCATAATCATGTTTTCTGCTACCAAAATTAGGTACCAGAAAATTATATTTTTTGTTACCAAACATTATTTTGGTAGCCAAAAGCATATTTTTTGGTACCAAATATTAATTTGGTACTAGAAAGACATTAAAAATTAAAAAAAAAAACATTTTAATGAGAAAATTATTTTAGAATCATTGGTCTAGTAACATTATAACAAAAAATATAGTTTTGAAATTGAAATACATTATTCTATGTTAAAAAGTAATCAAATAGCAAGATTATATACTACTCTATGTGGAACATATACTTAATTAACAAGATCATTTATATATAACATGAACAAGTCTCTTGTTACACCTACACAAAACAACTAAATTATTAAACACTTGTTATACAAAATATACTAGGATGATTGTTAAAACTTAATATAGGACATATTTATGGAAAAAAAAAAAGAACAATACATGCACAAAATGTAAGTTTTAAAGTTTTTATATGATTTGCTACCAAACACAACTTTTGGTAGCTAAAAATGCCTTTTTGTCACCAAAATATGAATTTGGTAGCAGAATCATGTTTTCTGCTACCAAAATTTGCTATCAGAAACTTATGTTTTCTATTATCAAACATTGTTTTGGTAGTTGAAAACATATTTTTTGCTACCAAATATGAATTTGGTACCAGAAAGATGTATATTACATAATAAAAAAAATTTTAGAATCATTATTCTAATAACATTATAATAAAAAATGTAGTTTTGAAATTGAAATACATTATTCAAAGTTAAAAATCAATACCGAGATTATATACTACTCTATGTGGAACATATACTTAATTAAGAAGATCACATATGTGTACACATGAACATGTCTCTTGTTCCACGTACACAAAATAACTAAATTATCAAATAATTGTTATACAAAATAGAGTAGGATGATTGTCAAAACTTAATATAGGACATATTCATAGAATATTGAAAAAAAAAAAGTAATACAAACACAAAATATAAATATTAATGTTTTTATATGATTTGCTACCAAACACAACTTTTGGTAGCAAAAAAAAGCCTTTTTGTCACTAAAATAAGAATTTGGTAGCAAAATCATGTTTTCTGCTATCAAAATTTGGTAGCAAAAAATTATGTTTTTTGGTAGTAAAAACTTGATTTTTCGCTACCAAATTTTAGTGGTAGATAGTTATATTTTGCTTCCAACTCTTGGTAGTGAATGTTATATGTTTTGCTACCAAAAATAATTCGGTAATAAATACCTCGGGCGGGAAAAAATTTTGCTTCCCGTCAACTTTTTGTTACCAAAACATGTTTGGTAGCAAAAAAGTCATATTTTGCTACTAAATTTTTGGTGGCAGAATCTTATGCTTTTGTTACCAAATATTATTTTGGTAGCAAAAAACTATTGGCGGGAACCAAATTTCATTTCCCGTCATATTATTTGTTACCAAATTATATTTGGTAGCATATTGTGTTGGTTTTGCTACCAAATTTGGTAACTAAAGCCTTGATACTTTCAGCTATCAAAGTTTAGTAGCAAAAAGTGTGTTTTCTGCTACCAAAAATTTTTTGGTATCAAAAAATTTGGTCTCTTAAAGTGATTATTCTTGTAGTGAAATATGTGTTTTTAAATATTTACTCATCCAATAATGACTGATGCTACAAGTAATTCCCATGCTTTAGCATATTTAGACTATAGTATACTATATATGGATTAAGGAAAGCAACAGGAACCCGAAAACCA